GAAGCAGGGCCCCGCTGACTCGTGGGGGGGCGGGGTAGGGGGGGGGGGAGGCCGGGGCTGTCTGCGCTTCGGTCCCTTAATTGGAACAGGGCGGGGGAGTGGGAGGAGCGGTGACAGCTGGGACACGCGGGTGCGTCCGAGCTGAGAGCTCCGTCACTGGGAACCGGGGCTGCTGAGAGCTGGGGGTGGGGGGAAAGCCCCAGGTCTGCTCCCTTCATCCTCTCGGTTCCCCCCTCCGCAGATGCCAACTGCACTGCAGCACCCCACGTACTGCCCGCAGATCCCCTCCGGCCTCCTCCCGTAGCTGTGTTTAGAATGCGCAGTTGAAGCTGCGCTGCTTTGATCCGACAACAGGAAAAGAATCTATATATAGAAAACGACCAAAATGTCCAAAGGGCAGAATGAACCAAGGAAGTTGCTAAGATGCTCGTTGCTTAGAGCTGGAGGAAGCGTGTCCTGTGGAACTCACAGTGTCACCTTCTGTGGAGGACCTGCGATGGGATGGCGGTGGGACTGGCCCCAAGTGCGTGGTGTGCTGTTCCATGCCTGAGCTGGGCTGTAGTGAAGGAGGTGCATGGAGGGCTGCAAGAAATCATCTCTCCAAGCATTCTTCCCAAGCTCTTTGTGGGTCCTTCCCTTGGAGTGGTTTCACTATAGTAAATGTCTGTTGTCTGACAAGAGGACGCTCAGGACTCCATGTACTGAGATGCGTTTCCTCTCTCCTTTTCTTCTCTTCCCCACTGTCAGCTATTAATAGGGCCGTAGCTTATAAAGTTTGGAGCTGTCCTGATTTTCCTTTGGCCCAGCCCCATTTTGAGGGATGTCTATTTTAATATCTGGTTCAGGTGTGTGCACTGTGTGTATGTTACAGAAATGATAAAGTGTAAAAAGATGTGGAAGTTTGGGCCAAACCATGCAACACTTCAACTTGCTTATGACTTCACGATTGGCCCAAGATAGAATAATGCTGCTAAGAGTCTTCTGACTGTTTTAAATGAGGAAATCTCTATTCTGATCCCAAATATGTGGATGCTCTTTGCCAAGTACCTTAAATTCTCTTGGTATTTGCAATGGGATGTGACAGTGCTTTTTGTTCCTTTGACACACTAAGCAGCATGTGCCCAAATATTTGCAATGAGGACAGCAATTGAAGTCTATATTCGTATTAACGTGAAAGGTGCCAGACTCACTGACTTACAGCATGGGATAATGCTTCACATAGCATCTAACTTCAGTTCAAGTTCTTGGTAATACGTATCGAGTAATGTGATTGGTAAAAGTGGCATTTGGTAAAAGCTTTACGGAAAAAGCTTTAGTAAGAAGTCTGGCAGTATTGCACTGCCAGAGAGAGCGGGGATGTTTGGATTGTTTCAATGGATCGATTGTATCGGTGATACTGTGCACACCAGATAAACAGCACGGGGCCACTTTTTATGGCTTCAAAAAATTCTGTAATTACTAAATATTTCCTCCCAGTGTTTTAAGATTTGTGCATATGTAGAGCATAATTTAAGATGAACCCTTAAAGCAGGGTTATCAAAACAATAGACTGTGGCATTTGTAGTGCTGAATAATATATAAGGCAATGATCAATAGTCCCTTGCAGGGAATACATTTCATCTTTACATTAGCTTGGCTGTAAATTCTCCCTGTTGGCTTCAGCTCGTGCTTTGTTAAATTTATGTGATTCATGCCTGCTATTGATTAGTGCACAACTATTTTGTGGGAGATGCCAAATTAATTGTTCCAAAAATCCATGAAAGTGCTTTTTTATTGGCCACGTGAGGCTCAACACATACTATGCTGTTACTTTATTGTTTCATGCAAATATAATTCCCAACGAGCTTTTAAAATAGTTATGTGATGGGCTTAGACATGAGAATTCACAAACTCCATTGGAAATGCTGCGCTGGGCTTTTACTTTGTGGCTTGGAAAGCAGCTTGGTGCGACTGCGTGGTGATTCTGAATGGGGCTGGGTCACTCTGTGGTCTTCATGAACAGTCTGGAATAGGGAATGATCCCCTTTGATTCCACACAGTTCTGGCTGTGGGTGAGGTCTGGCTGGTAGCATCCTCACTGAGATGGAAAGGCTGCCAGAAAACCAGAGCTCAGACGCAGAGGAGGCGGTGCCTGAGTTGATTCTCTCAGTACTGGGCACACGGATGATGAACCTGGGAGATCTGCAGGAGGGAGAGCTTGTCTGCAGAATGCCCTGTCTGCGGGGCGCAAACATCTGTGTGAGCTCCCTGCTGCCTGTACAAGAGGATGTAACTGTTCATACACTATCCCTTGGGTTTAGAGTATTTCGATTTTCAAGTCTGAGATGAGTAAAAAAATACCATACCAGTGAGAATACCTAGTATCTAGAGGAATAGCGTGAGCCTCTGGACTGTGCTACAGATCTCATTTCTCAAGCCTCTGAAGATGACACTGTGAGTAAACCTTTCCACGTATTCCTGATTCATTGATGCCTGGAAGTAGAGTTCTGGCTCCATGTATAAAGTTATTTTCATCTCACAATGCTGACTCAAATGTTGTTTTGTTTTTTTTTTCTTTTTCTTTTTTTTCTTTAAAGTTTACTAGGCAAGACAGATTTCATAGGTGCTTTAATAAAGGTAATTCTGTCTGTCCCAAAACTCAGTTTTTTTCATTGAATGCTTTATGCGTTGCACAAAGCACAATGCTGGCAAGTCTACATTAGGGATGAGCTTCAGTTTTGTGTTCAGAAATGACAGGAAAGCATAAGGATAATCGTTTAATTTGACACATTAATGTTGTCTGCAATGCATCCTTTGAGCAGAAATTAAAGGACTTCACCATTCGAGCATCGTATTTAAGGTGCATTCATTTGTTCCTCATCTTTGTCCAATCAACACTGAAAAGGGAAAGCAACCCTTGGCACCAGCTGATTGTCACTGAGGGATCAGTCACATCTGGGAAAAAACCTTCCAGAATGTACAACGTGTACATTGTGTGCTTTTTCCTGTATGTTCTAGGTATACTGGAGTTCATCAGTATAGCAGTGGGCCTGGTCAGCATCCGAGGAGTAGACAGCGGACTCTACCTTGGAATGAATGAGAAAGGGGAACTCTACGGCTCGGTAAGTCCCTACTTGTCCTGGGAGGTTCTAATCCTTCTGTTCTGTGGTAAGAATACCTGGTTGCTCCTGCAAGGCCTCGTTGCTGTGCGAGTACTGCTTGCGAGTACTGCTTCTGCTTGAGAAGTCTTAATGTCTAATAAGAAACAAATATCATGGAAGGGAGAGAAAATGGTGACAGAAAGAGTGATGATGTGGGCTGATGGCAATATGGGTGTGAAGAGTGGAGACTGCTGGCCACTGAGGGCTGAAGGATGTATGTACTGCAGGGTTTGCAAAAGTGTCCTTTCTGTAGAGACTGAAAAAAGACAAAGTCACTGTGTTTTGTGTGTGGGCAGAGAACTTGCTAGGAATTGACAAAAGCGAGTCGAGGGGGAGGTAAAGGGTGGCATATGTGGATGAGAAAATGAGGAGTAGATAAGAGTTATAAATTGTAAAAGAAGGCAAAAGACTGGATGGTCATGTCCTGAAAGTTCAGCTGGTGTTTTCTGTGGGCTCTCAGCAGGAGCTGGTGATGGGCTTGAGGCAGGAGTAAGGCTTGGTGCTTCTGCTGTGGGAGTAGAATGGCTACCCAGCTGTGTTTGTGTGCTGTATGTCCCTTCCTTTGGACATCTGCTGTGCACTGGGGCTCCCAGTGGGGTACACTGTGGGCAGTGGGTGTCTGACGTGGAGTAGGTAACTTTTCAGACAATAGAAGGCAACCACTTCTAGCAGACAAATGCCAGCTTCCAACAGTGGCAAGAATTAGAGAAACTGCTGTACTGGAGGAAGAGGTTTGGAGGGAAAGCAAATGTTCGAAGTGAAGGGAGGCTCTGTGCACTGGGGCTCTTCAGAGGCACAGAGGGAAAGATGCCAGTGGTCAACCAGAGGCAGGGCATGAACATTGCAGGGAAAGACATTCATAAAGAGCTGAATTGACAATATAGTCTTAGGTGTGAATGAAGTCCCTTGAATTACAGGGAAATAATTGGGAAATAACTGGAAATGGTGACTGGGAAAAGTGGGACAATTGTGAGAGTGGGAGGGATGTGAGAAGATGACGATGGGCAGATGAGAGCAGGAGTGAGAGTTCAGCTTCCCAATAGATCTATAGAGTAGTGAGAGGAAACAAGACTAGAAGTGTTGTAACAAGGTGTCCAGTTTGACTCTTAGTTTCTTTCTTGTATTACTGTGTGTGAGGGATGGAAGGTGACTATCTTAGAGTCACAGTCAACTTTAGAATCAACCACAGAATCATAGAATCATTTGAGGAACTTTAAAGGCCATGTATTCCAACTCCCCTGCAATGAACAGGTGCAACTTCAGCTCAATCAGGTTGTCCAGAGCCAGTTCAGCCTTAGCTAGAGTGTCTCCAGGGATGGGCCATCTATGGTCCATCTTCTGAGCAAAGAGCAAGTTAGGAGAAGAAGCCAGAAGGTGTACAGTGTGAAAGTGTATGTGGGAAGCAAAAGAAGAGGTGGCAAATGAGGGTCAAGGGATGGAGAACATGTGGAGAAGGAGGAAAAGGGGAGATACAGAGATGACAGGAACTAGCGAGTGGGAATAGAAAAAGGAAAGAGATTTAGAATAAATGGCAGTATGAAGGAGGAGGAGGAGGAAAAGGTTGCAAGGATGGAGGGGAAGAGAGAAAAGTATTAGATGCAATGACAGATGCACACAAATTGCCTGTGAAAAGTAAATAAGTTTTCATAAATCAGAGTAATTGTGCAGCTGATCCATGGCATAAAGAAGTAGCCAAGTCAGGAGTACTTCTATGGCAGTACAGAGGCAGAAGAGCAATAGTACTGTGAATCAGTAAGGTTGAAAATCATCAGTAGGAGGAATCATTTAAAAGGATGCACATTGTCAGTGAAACAGTAAAGTTATTCTATGTTTCAAATATTCAGAAAAAGAATTGTGGATGTGGCTGGCATTGGTAGAGATTAAACGCATAGACTTGGAAAGCCAATGTTACATTGTTTTTTTCTGTGTAATTTGTCTTTTGTGAGCGATTTTTTTTTTTTTTTTGCTAATATGCATAAGAAATTCTTTGTCAATGACTACTGCATTGATAAAACAGTTGTTCCATGAAGAGCAGTGCTCAAAAAGCCCCACTTTCCTAAGGATTTGTGTCTCATTCCCAGGCATGGACCTCTCTTACCTTCTCTCCCTGCAGTAACACAATTTCCCCAGGCTTTTATGTGCCTTGCACATAGAGAGGTGGTGTTAGATGTCCACACTTGCTGGATTGTTGGTTTGCATGGAGCTCCCAGGTGGGATGTTCGAATGATTTCCTTACTTTACTCTGCCTCTGATTAGTTGCAAAACTGATAGGGACTTAATTTTCTTGATGACCTTTGCCTCTTGATTGAAACTGGTTGAAAAGTTGAGGAGGGCTGGCAGGCAGGCAGACGGATGGACAGTGTAATTAGATAACCTCTTTTCCCTAATAAATGAGGCTAAAAATATGAAGCCATTCATAATGGAGAAGTGGCAATCTATAGGGCCAGAATGCAAAGTTCAGGTTAAAATCTGATGGATGATATGGCTTATTGTCAGCCTCCAGAGATGGCACATGCTGAAGAGTGATGGTAATTGAATTACATTACTTCCATTGAAATATAACCTCTAATGGCTACTCAGTGTGATGATGCTTTAAAGCCTTGTCAACACTAGCAATCCTAGTGCCTATATTTCAGCAACTGTCAGCTCTGGTAGAAACTCTGAGATAAGCAGTCCTCAGAGCATGTTTTCATGTAGAAATGGCTGAGCATTTTTAAGTGACAGCATTTTGCTTTTGGTTTTGGTGAAAAAAAAAAGGATGATTAATTGAAAGTGAAGTTCTCTGGTGGGAATAAATGCCACAGTTTGAACCAGAAACAAGTTACAATCCAGGCAAGGATAGAGGAGATCAGTTTAATTGAAATTAGTGTCTGCTGTATGACTGGCTGGGGTTTCAAGTTATCACTTGGATAAAGCAGGGAACCTGTACGGTGCTGCAGCACCAGCAAGGTCTCCACACTGCTGGGAGCTGGCTCTTTGTCGTGAGTCTTTGACAGAAGGCCATGAACAACAGTATTGCCTTTGTCATGGAGCAAGTATGGTTGTGAAACTGTGGACATGCTCTGTAAGTTGGAAAAACTGCTTCCCACTCATAACTGAGCAGCAACCGGTGAAATCCCTGTCCTGCTCTACATCAGTGTTGAAGATCTATCCAGGTGTGTTTCTGCCATACTTGGTGCTGTTGGATGAGGTGCCCCATGTCTCTGGCAGCATCAGATCCATATTCAGATTTCTGTATGAAAAGTATATGAGATGCAATCAAATCAGCTCCCTGAAAGACACATGTCCTTCTACATGTGCGTGTAAAACATTTGGCACAGGAGGATTTCTCCCAGTGTATTTGTGGTGCCGCTAGGGATGGGACATACGGTGAGGCAGATCAGCCAGGATGGGAAATTGCTGCCAATTTGTTGAACAGGAGAGGCAGTTTTAGCATATCTTGATCTAGACGTGCTCCTCTTGGCCTTCTGAAAGTGCTGCTTTCCTCCTAAATCTAAATTAGCTGCTCAACAAACGCACTTCCCAACTTGTCACCTTTACAGGGGTTAGTTCACATCTTCTGGTTCAAAAAGCTCTGTGACTGTCATGCTGTTCTTAGGACCGCGTATCACAGGATGGCTGTTCCCATGTTCCTTCTCGCCCCGTGGATTTAGCTAGGCAAAGCTGCAGGTAGTATATGTGTGTGGCTCAGCAAGGAAGCCAGAGGTGCCTGTGTAGCACAGACTTGGAGCTAAGTGGTGACAGCAGCCTTTCTTGCTCTGTCTGTCTGGCTCTTTTCCTGCTCTCCTTTTACCTTGCCTTCCCCTTGCAGCCTGCAGCTATGACTCATCATTTCACAGCAGCTCCTGTGCTTGTCACTGGGGAGGAGGAAAAATCAAAACTCCAGATAGGATCCAAAGGGTGTTAAGATGAGACGTGAACTCCTTTTCCCTCCTGGAGTGCCAGCTGAGACTTTCTAACACCTCTGCAAGAGTGTCAACAAGTGTTTTGTAGCTGTGCTCCTTGGTGCTATGCAGTGAAGATCTTCATGCTGAGTCCCATGACCCTCATGCCTTTGTGGGCTGTCCCCAAGCTCACACTGTCCCACACCTCTGCCTTGTGAGTATCCATAGTTGGCACTCATGTAGCACATGGGGTTCCTATCCTGGGCTGGCGTCTCAGGCAGTACTTGTGCTTTCTTGAACGTGACAGGAGCATGGGACGTGGAATTATAGCAGCAGTAAGGCTGGAAAAGATATCCATGAAAATCACCTAGTCCAACTGTCAGCCCATCCCCACCATGCCCATTAACCATATCCCTCACTGCCACATCTCCATGTTTCTTGAGCACCTCTAGGGATGGTGACTCCACCACCTCTCTGGGAAGCCCATTCCAATGCCTCACCACACCTTTTCAGTAGAAACTTCTCCTAATATCCAACCTGAATCCTCCCTGGTACAACCCGAAGCCATTCCCTCTTGTCCTATCACTGTTATGTGGGAGAAAAAGCCAACTGTACATAGCCACAACCTCCTTTCAGGCAGTTTTAGAGAGCAATAAGATCTCCCTGAAGCCTCCTCCAGACTGAACAACCTTAGTTCCCTCAGCCACTCCCCATAAGACTTGAGTTCCAGACCCTTCACCAGTTTTGTTGTCCTTCTTTTGACACCTTCAGCCTAGATGCCCTGTGTCCTGGGCTCTCCTCCCATAGAAAGCTGTGCTCCATCTCCCTGCTGGTGTCCCTGCCCTATTTGTTTCCCACAGTCACAGAGCTGCCCCACTCCTCCTCAGAAACTGGTGTCCCCATTGCCCTTTGTGTCATTGGCATGTGGCAAGAGGCAGGGCAGCTTGGCTGACTGGGAGGAAAAATGATAATGGGAAGATGTGGAGCAGCTACAGAGGCTGCTATGCTGAGAAGAAGAGGAAGGCAGAAGGAAGCTAGTGGGCTTGCTGGGGAAGGGAAGAGGGCTGGGAGCATGTG